ACAAATAAGAGAGCACCGAAAAATGAAAATTACTTTGCTTATGTTTCCGTATTAGAATTTTATTTGCTAAAGGGTAAAAACAGATTTGCAAAATTCACAGTTAACTTAAAACAATAGTTTTAAACCTTTTATTCCTAGCCCTTACTGCCTTCAGGAAGGAGAGAACATCTGGTTATTTAAGGAACACAATATGTTCACATTTTCTATGACTTTTGTTTCTAATTGGGTTTTAAAATTTTTTTTTGAATTTGAACAACTAGTTAGAACAATGTTTTTTAATCACTTCATATTTTTCAGACTGTCCTCCTTCTATCCCTCTACTTCATTTAGTGGATTGTTTTTGGAAATCTGCTCAGTGGTTCTAATACGATAAAGACAAGAAAAAGGGAACTAGGATCATGACCTGAAGAGCGAAGTATAGGAACCGTATTTACAGTGAACAGAGTATAGGAGCCTATAAACAACTATTTGACGTCTAGCCTTTATATTGTATACATTTAAGAAAATTTTCAAATAGTTCTAGGTCCACTTATTTACATGGCAGTTTCACTTACTACAGATGCAAATTAAATGTCGATTACAAATTAAATAATATTCATAACAAATATTAGTAAATAGGATTCTACTATTTTTAAAACTGTAGCTCCTGTGTGGAAAGGTGGTTGGAAGACCTGGGTTCAATTGCTGGCTCTGCCCCTGACAAGCTTTATTAAATGCTTCTCTTAACTTCACCTTGATCCTCAGTTTGTTCATCAACAGACACAGGAGCTGGATTAGATCTCTAGGTTCTTTGCATTTCTGAAATTCTGACAGTCTAAGTGAGGTTACTGACTAGATTCTTTGTTATGTCTTTTTTGTTCTGTAACATATGACGGTGTTAATAGGTTTTCAAACAATTCTCACACACAGCAAATCAAGGAGCTAGATGCCCTTTAAGTTCAAGTTGTAGGGTTCATTCACCATCTGGATAAGAATGACAGCTGACAAATATACAATTGGTGATGACTTATGTGGAATGTGGGTATGGGTTCCGGAAATATGCTAGATGAGTGAGATCCACCTAGATCAGAGTTAGTATAGTACACTGGAGAGGCTTAGCAGTTGAGTCAGAATTTAATTCTACCATTTTCTTCTTCTTTTTTTTTTTTTAAGTTTATTTATTTATCTTGAGAGACAGAGACAGAGAGAATGCACGTGCACGAGAACAAGGGAAGGACAGAAAAAGAGAGAGGATCCCAAGCAGGCTTTGTGCTGTCAGCACAGAGCCTGACTCGACTCAGAGTTCACAAACTGAGATCAGCCTAAATCAAGAGTCGGACACGTATCTGACTGAACCACCCAGGAGCCCCTACCATTATTTTCATTAAGAAAACCAACCACTGGGGCGCCTGGGTGGCTTAGTCGGTTAAGCGTCCAACTTTCGCTTAGGTCATGATCTCGCGGTTCGTGGGTTCGGGCCCCGCGTCGGGCTCTGTGCTGACTGCCAGCTCAGAGCCTGGAGCCTGTTTCAGTCTGTGACTCCCTCTCTCTCTGACCCTCCCCTGCTCGCTGTCTTGCTCTCTCTCCTAGAAATAAATTAAAAAAAAAAAAAAAAAGAAAACCAACCACTGCAGGACACAAAGCTAAATGCTAAAAAGTGAGTAGGATCATAAGAAGGAATAATGGATGCAATAAATAATAGCTAAAATATAAGGTGCTTACAGGGACACACAGGGGAAAACATATCCTATCTGAGCCTGAGAACAGCTTCCTGGAGGAGGCAGGAGGTTTGCTGGGAATCTCAGGAGACGATGGATACATCCAAGGGTCATGGGGCCATTCTAGCTAGCTTGGAATCTTACAAGTTTTTGGCCTTGGGAAAGTCACATAACCTTAATCTGTCTGCACTGAAAAAGAATGAAGAAAGGTAACCTGCTTTGCCTACCTCATAGCTTGGTATAAGGACCAAAGTAAGCACACTGAAGTGTTTGGAAACCGTGAAGGAGTATGAGCCTATTATTACAGTTTACAACCCCATTATTTCAGTCTGTTCAAATGAGAAATCTTTTCACAGTAAAGCCTACATCTCATATAAAACAATTAAAGCTCAGTGTCTCATCCTCTAGTTTCAGAGTCTGTTCTCAAGTGAGCAATCTCCACTGGGACTTAGGGAGAAGCAGCAGGACAAAGTACTTTTCTGAAGCTGGCAGTGAACTTGGGGGGCTCAGAGTTCCTTGTTTATTTTTATTTTACTGAGTCTGTCAGCAGCACTCAACACTACGGTCACAAAGAACTGGGCTATGGGAAAATGAACTTTCAGGCCTCAAATCTCATCCTTCTACTAGTTCGCTTCACAGAGACTCGGGTGTTTATATATTTACTCTGATCTACTTGAATTGGGAATGATCCTAGTATTTTTAAGTGTTTCATTGTTATTAATGAATAGAAAAAAATTAAGCACTCTGATGTCTGGATTTTTAGAGGATATGGGCAGGGTACTAGCATTACCTTTTCCTCTTTTTCTTCCCCCTCAGTGTAAATGGCCTCCTATATTATTTTATAATTGACATTACTACACTGAAAACTCTGTCCATTGTGGATTTCTGTGCTACATATAAACTTGCTGTGCTGTGTGTGTGTGTGTGTGTGTTTTATTTGAACCTTTGTAGCACTGGATTGGATCTTTAATTTTTTTTTTTAAGTTTATTTATTCATTTTGAAAGAGGGGCAGTGAGAAAGGGAGAAAGAATCCCAAGCAGGCTCTGTTCCAGCCCAACCTGGGGCTCAAACTCATGAACCATGAGATCATTACCAGAGCTGAAATCAAGAGTTGGACGCTTAAGTGACTGAGCCATCCAGGTGCCCCCTAGATTGCTTATAGACCTTATTAAATGATTATAAGTCAGTGCTTTGTGGACATAGGAGCTCTGGCTGAGCAGGTCATTAGAGACAACTTAATTTAATCCCTAAAGAGAAGACCAAGACAGCAAGCACGAATTTCCCCAAATCACAGGAAGAGCTGTTGGGCAGAATCAAGATTTGACTCAGTATCCTGATTCCTAATTCAGTCTCCTTCCTTCTTGACTAAAACTATCACCTTGCTGGGTTAGCCTTGTGAAAGCCCCTTAATACTATACAGCTTTCTTCATCTTTCCTGTAGATATCATCATTCTATAAACTTATTCTCAATAGCCTTTTAAACATGACTCCTTCCTCCTGACCAATTTCCTCTGTCTCAGAAATACCAATTTAAGATCCTACATTTTGGACCATTATCTTGATAATGGTTTTACTTAGTAAGACTCTGAGTGTACAAGTGGGGAATGGAATACTTATTTTTTTTTTAAGATACTTGTTATTGTTTTCTTCTCCTAATCCTTGGAGAGAATATATTTTATAATGCTTATAGACTTGGTTTCATTATACTCTTATATTGTGTACATAATCTTTGAGATAAAAAGTACACTATTAAAAATCACAGATTCCATTAATAACACTGACTGATTTATTATACAGAATTCTGCAACGAGAAGACTGGATGATTCATAGCAAGATCAGCCATATTTAGCTAAGGGAAAATGACCAAGATCAATAGGTTTAGATAACATATTCACTTCTCCCTTCAGTAAAACCAAACAAATCATATAAGCAGAGAATTCAGATAGTTATTTTAGCAGTTTTTTTCCCCACTCTGTATGATTCTAAGAATTCCTAATGCTGAACTGATAGAGTTTACCTTTAAGTTTACAGACAAAAACTCATATACCTCATTGACCAGAAACCTCATTCTTTATTCCTTTTAGAGATTTTTCATAATTATTGTTATTTCTATAGAAAAATACATAAGATATGGAAATTTTGATTTTATCATCAGACTCCTGAGCCTTACCAGAAAAAAATATGTGTGTGTGTGTGTATGTGTGTGTGTGTGTGTGTATACATATGCTATCTTAGGTATCAGAGAAATGATGGATTATATTTTTGACACTTAATGAAATTTTGCATAGGAGAAATGATGTAAAATTGCATATTTTTGTAGCAAATGGACATAGGCACAAGGAAATAAAATCTTAAATCTATCAAAGAATAAATAGAGGTTATACTCAAATATTGAAGTCAACAGCCCAGGAAAAAGCAGAAATCCTTTAGAATTAAAATTTACGTTAAACTTGGAGGCCCAAGTCGATCAGACAGAGCTTTGGCAATGGATCCACAGACAGACTGACTCAAAGACAGTTCGACAACTGCCAACATGACTGTTGGGAATTCTGCCAAAGAGCCAAAGGCTGGGATTACCACCCAATGCCTGGCATTCTCTTACTCGTGTTTGAAGCTCTCTCTCTGATACTTCATCCAATATTTTTGTTTGGCTCAAAAGCATCAAGGATTCACAGATTTTTTTAGATCATTAAATGTTCTTATTTTCAAGAAATATAACATTAGTTGTAAAAGAGCACACTTTTTCTCTGAAGTGTAAAGAAAATCTTGGTGGCTTGCTTTAAGTTCAAATAGAGAAATCAGCATTAAAGTCTGTTTAAGTCTTTATTTTAATAGGTTACTCTTCACCCACAAAATAAAAGATACATATTCATAATATGAAATGATTTCATTGTATCATAAACTCTAACAGAAAGAGTCCTTTTTCTAGCTCTAATGAACACACGACCCCTGAGGCTCTATATCAGTCCCTGTGAGGAGCACCAATGACAATGAAGTGTGGCTATAAGGAGAAATAGTTGCTCAACTATTCCTTGAGTTATGAGGAAGGAGGAGGGCAGAAGAACCTTCTGAGGGACAAGAGATATGTGTTCCGGTTTCCCAGGGCAACGTCCACTTACTTTACCTGCTAAGTCGCTAGCCAGTGAGATATGCGAGTTTTGTCTCCAACTCTAGACAAATTCTTTCATTAGGCAACTCCTCTGTCATTAGACAACTTCCCCATTAGGAATTCTTAGAGCTGTGTTGAAAAACAAATTTTTCACCCAACTTAAACTTGTGCATACTCTATTTGGAAAGCTTACCTTTGGATCTCGAAGGAACAGAGCCTTAAGAATCAGTGAGTGTACATCCCCAATTAGTGGGTAATGCATCAGAAGGCCAAGACAGGTCTGGTAGTTACTAGAGATCACTAAATAGGAAGAAAAAAAAAATTCAGAAGCAATACTGTTTAAGATGTTTGCATTACTTGAGACTAAAAAAATAACAACTTAGATGCAAAGAAAGCAAACCAATAACTCAATTAATTTGATAAAAGGAAATGGGGAGAAGGGATCTTTACCAAATGGCCTTTAAGCAGCACACTGTACTGTTAACTGCAATCTAATATCTACTACTTATCCTCAGGGGGTGTTGGAACAAGAGGCTCAGATATAGAGATGTGTATGCTTGCAATATAAATAAACTCTCAGAAGCATGCATATTTATTGCCATTTATATGTCTGTGTTTAAATGTCTCTAGTTTTGCTGCTTAGAAATTAGTAACAAAAATCTGATGAATGGGAAAGAACCAGTTTAAAATTCTCATAAAATAGTATTTACCTTAATTATGCTTCCAGAGTTACATGTTACATTTATTCTTTTATATATAAATATTACATAATTCTAAGTTTAAAAAAATCTAATTTCTTCCAATTATTTTTCCAAAGGTAGCAAGAAATTTAGGTAGAGTATCTATGCAGCATTTCTTGGAGGAAAGATGTCAAAATCTTCAAAGACAAGCCTAACTGTGTTCCTTAGACTGTCATTTAGTTTTTTTTCCCAAATCAACCTAATTATGGGTGCAATTATTAAACACATCTTTTCAGGCAGGTCTATGTAAACTACTTCATTTCTTGGCAATCCATCTGCCACTGCTGTCACAGTCGTGCCCATTAACGACACTTGTTTGGTAAGCCACACTGAATGCCTCCACAGCATTGATTGTGAAGAAACTTTACAGTTACAACTTCCTGTTATTGCAACTGAATCCTTTTCATTAATCAGAACGAGCAGTTGAAAATTATTCCATAGGAAAACAACTGTGATTCTATAGAAACAGCATAAATCACAAAATAAACAATTGTTTGTGATCAGAAATACCCTTGATTCTTAGATTTTTTTTCTTCTTTTGTTAAGGACCAGTTTTTGCAACAGCTTCTCACACCCTCCCCCTTCCCATGAACATTATGGGGAAAGGAGACAGGACTGGGCAAAATGAATAATTATAATCTATGTAAGGAACCACTTTATCATCTTCATTTCCGTTGCTGATCTGACAGCTTGTAATTTCATACATCTGCTTTCATTTGTAAAGCACTCACTTATCCTACCCTTTCTATATCTGTTCAGACTACTCTTTCCTTATTCGTTCATTTTGTCATATTCACATTCAGTTACCTGTTATCCTTTTTTTCTCTAGAATTCAAAAAGCTAGTAGACTGAGAACAGTATAACACTCCCATGTACAGTTTTCTGTGAGCTCTAACAAACAAATAAAACTTAAGTAATCAATTCATTTTATAGTTCATACTTACCCAAATATTATAATGATTATATACTCGTATATAATGACCCGGGAAGAATTCTTGTATACTTTGTAAGAGAGGCACGAGAGTTTTGTGGAAACAGTTCTGGGCTCAGGACTCAAAGATGAATTCTGGGACATCATATGAACCTTTCATAAAGTTGCCTTAAGGTTAAAGTACATAATGTGTATGGGTGGTTTATAGCAGCTGCTCAAAACCTGTTGAGGGAAACTTCTCCAAGCTTAAATGCAGTAATTTGGAATACAACATCTTGATTTAAAAAAAATTATCTGCCTGCTTTATTCAATCCAATAGTTATTCATTGAGTGCCTAATCCATGACAAGCCCCATGTTGGGCAGGGATGCAGAAACAAACAAAACACAGTCCTTACTCTAAGGAAAATTAAAGTGAAGAAGGGCAGATGTGTAACAAGCAGCAGTTAAAACTATGACTACCGCTAAGATGACAATAAATTATTGAAGGCTTTCTGAGACCAGGCCCTATCCCAACAACTTTCCCTACATTATCTCATTTAATTTCTATGACAATCTTATTATAAGCGTAAAATTACTACCCCTGTTTTACAGATCAGAAAACTAATAATTCAAAAGGTTGAGTCATTTGCCCCAATCACATAGTGATTTGGTCGTGGTGCAAGATCTGAAATTCAGAAATCTAGCTACAGGGTCTGAGCTCCAATACATGGCTTTGTTTTGAAAAGACAGTTGTTTTAAAAGTCATATGCCATAATGAGGGGCGCCTGGGTGGCTCAGTTGGTTAAGCATTCGACTTCAGCTCAGGTCATGATCTCACCGCTCATGAGTTCGAGCCCCACATTAGGCTCTGTGCTGACAGCTCAGAGCCAGGAGCCTGCTCTGGATTTTGTGTCTCTCTCTCTCTGCCCTCCCCTGCTCACGCTCTGTCTCTCTCTCTCTCTCTCTCTCTCAAAAATAAATAAACACTAAAAAAAAAATAGGGGTGCCTGGGTGGCTCAGTCGGTTGAGCGTCCGACTTTGGCTCACATCATGATCTCACAGCTCGTGGGTTCAAGCCCTGCGTCGGGCTCTGTACTAATAGCTCAGAGCCTGGAGCCTGCTTCAGATTCTGTATCTCCCTCTCTCTCTGACCCTCCCCTGCTCACGCTGTCTGTCTCTCTGTCTCTCAGAAATAAACATTAAAAAAAATAAAAAATTAAATAAAAATCAGATGCCATAATGAATACAATAATCACTGCAAACAGAAAAGTCAATAGTACTAACGCCCTTGTATAGGAGTTTTAAGCAGCCTGGATGGTCATCATAGCCCAGTCTCTAGAACGGCCCGATAAAGACAGGTATTTATTTGGAGGGACAAGGGTGACAATCCTGTTATTGAAACTTGAAAGAACTTTTGAAGCTGTCAGAAACTATAAAACATGCGGGGCGCTTGGGTGGCTCAGTCGGTTAAGCGTCTGACTTCGGCTCAGGTCATGATCTCACGGTTCGTGGGTTCGAGCCCCGCATCGGGCTCTGTGCTGACAGCCAGCTCAGAGCCTGGAGCCTGNTCTGTGCTGACAGCCAGCTCAGAGCCTGGAGCCTGCTTTGGATTCTGTGTCTCCCTCTCTCTCTGACCCTCCCCTGCTCACTCTGTCTCTCTCTCTCTCAAAAAAAAAAAAAAAAAAACATTTAAAAAAAAAGAAACTATAAAACATGCAAGGGAAGCCAACTAATGCATTAATATTATTCTACTTGCAGAGTGAAAGAAGGCGCTAACATTCTTTCTCTCCTTTCTCCCTTTCATCCACCCAGTCACTGAATGTGATGAACATTTCCTGAGCACCTACTGTATCCTGGACACACAGAGACCATGCTAGGCACCGGTACTAGGGTGGCACATGAACCTGGGCTCTGAAGGGCAGCAGAACTGCTGCCTGAAATACCGCTGTGGGGCTCTCACCTCAGCAGCACACGTACTAGAATCCGAACAATACAGAGGTCAGCATGGTCCCTGAGCAAGGATGACATGCAAATTTGTGAAGCAAAATACTGCTCTAGGAGTTCAGGACATGCCACCCCCAAATATGCCCCACTGGTATATTCATTATTTTGAGCAACAGGGGCTGAAAAACAACAAACGCAGTGTGAGGCCTTCTTTGAACTCTCCCTATCTGCCTAAAGACAAATCTTCCCAAAGGAAGTCAACTGTCATAAATTCCCCCAGGATAAACTTGGTCACAAACTCATACCTCTCATCTATTCTTCTAAGGGTTCACGGTCTCTCCTAAAAATCATTTATTGTCCTCTATGAAATCTACATCCTCCCTCCTCCTTCTTTATTAAGATAGTATTTAATCCTAAATTCTAAAGCCGTGTTTTTGAGAGTTGTTCATTATTCTGAGTACCATATACAAATGAGATACACATTTTTATATATGAGTCAATATGTTATATAATTACATATTTTATTAAACTTAAAATATTAAAATATAATTATAATGAACACATTGATAAGTATATAATTATATAAGAAGATAGATGTTAATAAACTTCCGTTTTTCTCATTAATCTGCTTTTTTTGTTAAACAATCTAGTTGAAAACCTCAATGAGTATAGGTAAAGTTTTACCTCCCCTACAGCCCACTGTCTTCAGAAAATACTATCTCTAATTTATTACTGAAAACTTGTACGTTTAGAGCACTTTTCATTTGCAATTGCATACGCGAAAGTATTAAGTCCCTGTTGAATTACTGTGCTCAATTAAGAGTAGGCAAGAGAGAATAACCCAAGCTGGTTTAAAAACAAAATCGCAGGGATCTGACAGAGTAAGAATTTAGTTTTGGTCTTCCCAGCAGATTGTTGTTGAATGTGAGACGCTACCTGCAGTGCTGTTCCTTCTCAGCGCTTCTTCTATCAGAGCAGGGCAGTGACTCAAGAAAACAAGTCAAAGGCTGATTTTTGGGATCTCCCTACATTTGAAATCACATACATATATGCTTTCAAAACAAAGTACGGAAGCTACACACTCTGAAGAGCTTATTCAGAGACGATGAAGACAAAGGTAAGTGGTACCTAGGGAAACATACTGGATTTGGAATCAGATGATCTAAGTTAGAATCTAGATTAGATATGTATCAGAATGCTGACTTATTACATGTATGACCTAGGTAAGGTGCTGAACTTCACGAACTTTGCTTCTCCCATTTATAAAACAGATAATGATGCTCATGCTACGTGCAGGGGTCCTTAAGCGTGGCACAGATGCAAGGTAGGGTGTTTCCCATCCTGCTTAATTCTTGCTGAATGGCACTCCCTCTGCACGAAGCACAGCAGACTTCTCTGTCTCTACCTTTAAATGGCACACGGCTGTTCCGGAGATGTCTAAGGGAGCCAGTTTAAGCAGTTTCTCCAGTAACAACAAAAAATAATGAAATCAGTGAAGATAATCAGAGGATGTTATTGTTTCGAGAAACCTTAGAGCAATGTGGTTAAATAACTCACGTATAATTCAAAGTTAACCATACCTACAATTTTAACACTTGCAAATAAAACACTCTATTCAAATTACTTCATTTTATATTTAGATATACTTACTTTCTCAAGGTAACAAAATGGACTGGGAACAACTACCAACGAACATAAAAAACTAAATGCAGACTTCCTTTAATTTCTCTAAAATTAAAAAAAAGTAACAGCCATCACTTATTAAGCATCTATATAATGTGCCTGGCAACTTGCCACATATTATACAAATAGCCTGCGAGTCCCCCTAATCCACACTAAGGAACCGATGGTCATCAACTCCACATTTTGGACAAGGAGACAGTAGTGCAGAGAGGGTCAACGACACATCCAAGGCTACTGGACTCCTGAATGGCAAACAGCGCTGAATGAACCCAGGCCTGTGTAGCTGACAGCCTCACTCTCCACCACTATACCTTACACTTTGCTGCATTCCTAGCAGAAAATGTCACGACAGGAGCATCTGTGTACAGAAGTCAAGTTCGGACAAAGAGCAGATGGCTTCCAAACACCAACTATGTTGTGAGCCATCGAAAAGTCTCAAAGATAACACTGAAAAAAAGCCCTCCATATATAAGGGCAAGTATAGAAAATATTTAGAAATAGGCATAAATTTTGTAGTTAGCTATAAAGAGGTATATAAACCAAATAATCATGGATTAAATGTAAAATGAAAATAATTAGCTAACAAGAACAACAAAAAGGAAAACCTTAAGGCTTTAAAATAATTTATTCTACCTCTACGCTGAAAACAAAGCCAATGTGGATTTACATGTCTTGCAAGGTAGCCAGCGTGCAGAAAACAATCAGTAAATGCTACGTGCTCTGAAAAAATATTTGTCGAAGACCTAATACGTGAAGGAAGAAAGAAGTAATGTTCGTATTTGTGGTCTTCCACCATTTAAAACACTTACTATTTTAACTCTCCCAGATATAAAATGTTAACACATAAAATTCGATTTCAGATGGACCAGAAACCAGGCGGGGCAGGGAGTAGTCATAGATAAAAACAACAAAACTTCGATTCTTTTCAGCCTTGGAGAAAGCCAAGTATCAAACAAAGTAATATCCTTCACCACACAAAGTGACTGTCGCCTAGTTTTATGACCGTCTGAGGACTGCGTCCTTCGGGTCTTCTTCCCCGGTGGCCGCTGTGACCACCGCCTCTCTTCGTGCCATCATCACTGCAGCACCCACCCTCAAAACCAAAGACGGACACACACTCTTCTGTAAACAATGGGACGGATGCTCTTTATTTCTCTAGTAGATTTTGCACAGAAATATGAGAATTTTAAATTAGATTTTTGGAAAGAGGAGAATCTCAAATTCTTTAGCTTAGAAAAAAAATTTTTTTATTATTTTTTTAAGAGTTTACTTTTCAGTAATCTCTGCACCAACCGTGGGGCTCCAACTCACAACCCGACATCAAGAATTGAATGCTCTACTGACTGAGGCAACCAAAGCACTCTGAGAAAAAGACTACAAAGTGCTCTTCTTGGGGCCCCTGGGTGGCTCATTCGGTTAGATGTCTGACTTCAGCTCAGGTCATGATCTCCCAGTTTGTGAGTTTGAGCCCCGCGTTGGGCTCTGTGCTGACAGCTCAGAGCCTGGAGCCTGTTTTAGATTCTGTGTCTCCCTCTCTCTCTGGCCCTGTCCCACTTGTGCTCTGTCTCTTTCTCAAATAAACATTGAAAAATTAAAAAGTGCTTCTCCTTTTGCTTCACTTTATAAGGATTTTTTAAATGTTAATTTTTGAGAGAGAGAGAGAGAGAGAAAGAGAAAGGGAGGGTGTGTGTGAGCAGCGAAGGGGTACAGATAGAGAAGAAGAGAGAGAATCTCAAGCAGGCTCCAGGCTGTCAGCACAGAGCTCAATCTGTGGGGCTCGAATCCACAAACTGATCATGACCTGAGTCGAAATCAATAGTTATATGTTCAAGTGGGCTACCCAGGTGCTCCAAGCTTAATACACTTTAAATAGAATTTATTTTAATCAGGGCAACAGAAGAGATCTCTACTCAGGCTTTTTATGTTTAAGCATACAGTGCTGTCAAATGAAAGGTAGTAAGCAAACAAGTACCTGAGTAGAGAATTGCTAGTGGGTAGGGTGTGAGTATAGTATGATGCACTGTACTGCTCAGGTGTGAGAACATTTGCCTCTGGCTACAGTTGACTTAACCAGAATTATGGTATGACGTCATGGGGGCAGGGAGACAAGAAATGCATTTGTGATGTGACGGCTGACACGTGGTTGGCTTTCAGTGCTTAGGATGAGTTCAAGCTTTATTTTCACGAATGAGAAGTTGGTAGACAACATTTAAAGTAAGAGTAACATTAGCATTTTTTTTTCTTTACAATATGGAAGGAAAATGTTTTTTTGGTCAGCTAAAAAGCACATGTGCCTGGGCACTGGGAGCAAGTGTTTTACAACCAGCCTTATAGGATGATTTGACTTTTTAAACTATGTACAACTTCCACAAAAGTCAGAACTCTGTTTAAAACTTCCACAAAGAGGGGCACCTGGGCGACTCAGGTGAGTGACCAACTCTTGATTTCTGCACAGATCATGATCCCAAGAATGTGGAATCCAGCCCTGCACCGGGGTCCATGCTGGGCACGAAGCCTGCTTGGGATCTCTCTCTTCCTCTCTCTCTGCCCCTCCCCTGCTCTCTCTCCTTTTTCTTCCTCTCTCCAAAAAAAAAAAAATATATATATATATATATATATAAAATGAACTTTTTCAAAACTTCTTCAATTTAGAGACTCGGTTTTAATAAGTCTGATTTATAGTTTTTGCCTATAAATTTACCAGGAGCTCTCTGGTCTGCCCCTTCATCCTGGGGAGGCCCTTACAAGAGCTGTATCCTTATTTCCTAGAGTATCTCACTTCTTTCTCACTTTACACCCTCATTTTGGTGGAGCACATCCTCTAAAAGCTTTATGTGCAGGACATGAATTTTTTTGAAAGGCTTTTCTGTTTGAAAAATTTTATTTTGACACTTAATGGTTACGCTAGGGACAGAATTCTAGGCTGTTAATGTTTTTCCTTTAGAAAATTGGGAGTCCTGTTCTAGAGTGTTTTGTCTTCCAGTGAAAAAGTCTCAAAGCATTCGAACTCACACACTTCTATGTGACCGGTTTCTCTTCTGCACCCACCCCCCATCTAAACTCATCGTAATGTACCTTAATTTGCATGTATTTTCATATATAATGGACTTTTTCAATTTAGAAACTCATGTTTTTCTGTTCAATTGGAAGTTTCTCTTTAATTGCTTCACTGATGATTTTCTCCCTTCTGTTTTTTTGTTTATCCTATGTTTGTTATGTCTTTCTTCTCTCTTTCTCTCTTCCTTTATCTATTAAAAGAAATCTCATTATCTAGATGTTGGGTCTCCTGGCCTGGTCCTTTAATTTTCTTTCTTATTTTCTACATCTATTCTATGTGATACTTTTTGGAATACTTTTTCAATTTTATATTCCAACCACCTTATTTTCATACTTTAACTTTCAATTACACTTTTTCCTTTGAATTACGTT